TCATAGTGTCTATTAGAGTAAACTTTTATACCAAAGTAATTATTTAGTATTTTTAAAGTTACCTATTACTATATGTGTCTATAGTCATATTGAGCATAAAAATACGATTTTTCTTAACCTACTACTACCTTACGATGATACTTATTTTCGTTATTCCGAATCCACCCAATCCTTGTATCAGAACTCCAAATCCTGATACTCCATTTCATCAAAACTTTTTTTTTTTTTTTTTTTTTTTGCTTTTCCAAATCCTCCCACTCCTTTTACCGCTCTCTTTTCCAGAACCACCGTCTCATACTCGCTTTTTTCGAAATTCCAAATACTCCAAATCCTGATACTTCCCTTTATTAGAACTCCAAATCTTGATACTCCATTTAATCAAAACTTTCAAATCTTTATACTCCATTTCATCAGAACTCCATATACTAATACTCCTTTTTACCAGAACAAATCCATATACAGAATTCAACATCCTGATACTCCATTTTTCAGAACTTCAAAACCTGACACTCCATCTTAATTTTATCTATTTATCTTTTTTTTCTCTCTCTTCTTTTCTATTTCAGAGTGTTGGTGCGTGAATCGAATGCGGGCGGGTTAGTGCGGGCGGTGCTGGAGATCAGGGCGGTGACAGCGTCGGATGCGGGCGAGTACACGTGCCGGGCGACCAACCCTCACGGACACCACGCCCAGATGTACGAAATAGCCATAATAGGTGAGGGAGAGAGGGAGAGAGAGAGAGAGAGAGAGAGAGAGACAGACAGAGAGAGAGAGAAGAGAGAGAGAGAGAGAGAGAGAGAGAGAGAGAGAGAGAGAGAGAGAGAGAGAGAGAGAGAGAGAGAAAGACAGACAGACAGAGACCGAGACAGAGAGACAGAGAGAGAGAGAGAGAGATGAGAGGGAGAAGGGAGGCAGAGGGATGATGAAGAGAGGGGAGAGAAGGGAGGGAAATAAGGGAACAGATAGAAATAAAGGGACAGAAGAAAAGAGAGAGAGAGAGGCAGACAGACAGACAGACAGACAAGCAGGCAGACTGTAAAATAGGCAGATGGACAGAATAACAGATAAAGACAGACAGACAGAAGCAGACAGAAGCAGCCAAAAAAAAAATAGACAGAGACGCATGAGATTGTGTATCCCTTTAGTAAGGATTTGCACGACTTACATCCTATAAAAAAAAACAAACAAAAAAAAAACAAACAATAAGATGCATGCCAATTTATCTTTTTTTCCTCCTCCTTGTCGCAGAGCCTCCTACGGCGCCTTCGGGAGTGTCGGTGACTGACGTGACGAGCCGCTCAGCAAGGATATCCTGGTCCCTCCCTCAGCCAGCTGCCGTCACCATCCAGTACCGAGGTAAGGCGCCAGCGCTGCTCCTGCGGCTCCTTCCTGAGTCTTACGTATACTTGAAGGACATTTGAGTTAAAGGGATTGCTAAAAATGGCCATGGAGGGTGGGGGTACTCCGTCTGTGTCACATTTGCCAAAGTAATTAATTTAAATAAAAAAAATCTTACTGTCGTACTTGAACAATGGGGGGGGGGGGGGGGTCCTCAGTCTACATATGCAACCTTGCTCTTGTCTTTGACCAGCCGCGGAGGAGGAATCGTGGGCGGTGCATGGGCGTAACGTCAGCGTCGGTCAGTGGGCGTCTTCGCATGTCCTCTCCGGCCTCACGCCCTACCAGGCCTACGCCGTCAGGCTGATGGCGCACAACGACCTGGGGGTGTCGCAGCCGTCCCACATGCACGTCTTCACCACGCTGGAGGAGGGTGAGTTGCGTGCGTGAGTGTGTGTGTGTGTTTGTGTGTATATATAGGTGAGAGAGAGAGAGAGAGAAGAGAGAGAGAGAGAGAGAGAGAGAGAGAGAGAGAGAGAGAGAGAGAAAGAGAAAGAGAGAGAGAGAGAAAGAGAAAGAGAAAGAGGAGAGAGAGAGAGAGAGAGAGAGAGAGAGAGAGAGAGAGAGAGAGAGAGAGAGAGAGAGAGAGAGTTTATGTGAACCCATACAGCCATTGCCTTTCGTGGGGGTTTTGATCTTCCTGCTTGCTTCCTCAGCTCCGTCGGGCGCGCCGCGAGACGTACGGTTGGCTGCAGGAGGACCTCGATCCTTGATTGTGACCTGGCGCCCTCCCTCGCCCAACCTCCTGCACGGCACCCTCAGGGGCTACACCATCGCCATCCGCCGCCAGAACCTGCAGGGCCACCTCACCTTCCTAACCAGGCCGGCCTCCGTGCCCAAAGGTAGGCCTCGGAAATGGAATACATAGACATCATACATACAGTACGTATGCGCATACATACATACAACGCATACATGCGTACAGTACATATATGCATTACAGTACATAAATGCATTACATATAGGCATACATACATATATGTGTGTTTATATATATATATATATATATATATATATATATATATATATATATATATATATATATATATATATATATATATTATATATATATATATATATATATATATATATATATATATATACACACACACACACACACAGTATATATACCCATACGCATGCACGTACACGCGCATATTCTCCTTCTCTTTTTACTGCAACCATAAACAGAAACATACTCCCGCCATAGTACCTCCGTCCTCCTAAGAGCTGCCTCCCTCAGACGCGGACGGCTTCGAGCAGTACCAGGTGCGGGGGCTGATCCCGGCCACTCTCTACGAGGTCGCCGTGCGGGCATTCACGCGCGCGGTCCGGGCCGCTGTCCACGCCCAGGATCGTGGATTCTACGAGCCATGACGGTGAGGGAGAGGCGGAAGTCGTCGGGCGGTCTGCGGGCGGGAAGGGGAAGGTGATGGGGGGGGAGGGGGGCTGCTGGTGATTCTCGTGCTGTTTACTAAGAGGAATTAGAACCCGGATGTGTTCGTTGTGTAGGGGAAATGTGAGTTACGTTGGTAAGGAAATGGAAATCTCCTTCACTGGGGATTATTGTTTGTTAAGGGATCCTGTTCATAGGCCTTCTTATTAAGCCTAATATGATTTTTTTGCCATAGAAGAAATATCCGAACAAAATCAGCTTTTGCGTAGATTCGTTTTTTTAATTTTTTATGACCTTTATTTTCCTTCTCAGCGCCCTCCTGTCCTCCTGCTGGAGTGTCATGCCGAGGGTCTGGGCGTGGAGTGGTGAGGGTGTGGTGGTCGCAGCCGCCCACGCACTGCAGTCAGACTCCTGTTGCTGGCTATACAATCGTCGCGACGCCCACCACACACACGCATCACCCTTCAGACAGTAAGTCCTTAATGGGAAATATGTCACTATGCTATGACGTCCAGAATCAAATTATGTCATTTCCCTATTACAAAATAAAACCAGATTGCGGTCGCGGACTGATACTTACCTGGATTCGTTAAACATTCGCACTTCTCTTCGCAGGCACAAAATGGGAAGTCAACACAACCAACCTGGAGAAGAACCTGGACTCGCTCCCGCCAGCCACCAACATCAGCGTGCGAGTCAAGGCCTTCAATAACGTCGGCTTTAGTCCCTCCAACAAACCCGTTTTCTGTGTCACGGAGGATGATAGTACGTTTTCTCTTTTAAGTTTCTTTCGCCAAATTCTGATGCGTCGATACCATGTAGAAAACGCACATAACACCATCATGACTTCATCTGAATATACTATCCTTCAATGTGTATGTTCCTTAGGGCACACAAATAATCATCTTATATATGTAATATTTAAAACTTTTTACGGGAATTATTACGGGAATTATAACTATTTAAGCCGCAATATTAGAAATAAAACATCGGTAGCGACCAGGCTTTGACTGAATTAATAATTACTGATAAAAACAAAATGTAATAACAGGTAATCGTCTTCCCACAGTACCTGGCGCCCCCGGAAAGGTGCAGGTGACGGTGACTGGGCCGAGGAAGGTCTTGGTGACGTGGGTTCCGCCTCAGCCTCCGACGGGGAATATCCTTCACTATACGTTATACTCTGTCAAGGATGACCAGGTTAGTAATAGGTTGAGAAAAGCGAGAATATGAGGAAGTAGGTGTAAATAAACGTAAACAAATATTTGGGATAAAATCGAAGAGCAAAGAGGATGCAGGTTAACCACCAGATAAAGCATCGAGTCATTTATTGCAAGCAGGTGCGGGATCGGGACGTCGTGGGCGCAGCTGGCTCGGAGTCCACGTGGAGGGAGCTCAGGGACCTCGCTCCTTCCTCCAGAATCGAGGTGAGGCGAGATGTTATTGTGCAGTTATTTGATATCATTAAACGAAATTTACATGTCTAATTATGGTTATGTGCACAAGGTATTTTTTTAAAGGTAAGCGTTCCAGCGCCTCTGAGTTCACTCCCTCCCCTGTCGTCAGGTGTGGGTGACGGCCACCACGGCCGCCGGCGAAGGCAACCCGTCACCTCGACTCACAGCTCTGCTCAAGCCCACGGCGACACACGCGCCCGTAGCCCTGGGCGGCGGACGGACCTGGCGTGTGGGCGCAGGGGCGGGCGTCACCCTCGGCTGCCGTGGGCGTGGAAAGCCCGCGCCCTCCATCGTGTGGTCGCGAGGAGGACAGACCATCACCTCCGGCCAGTTCACGCAACTGCTGCCCGGCGGGGACCTGCACCTGACGGGTGAGTGAGCGCCAACAGCTGTACTTTACAACCTGTAATTAAGGACACCGCATGCACGTCTGTGAGATATAGATGAAAGAACAAAAACGCACATCTTCGCCAAAACTGAGAGTAAAAGCGACTGCCTCCGCCCGCAAGGTGTGCGGGAGACGGCCAACTACACCTGCAAAGTGAGCAACACGATGGGCGTGGACAGCCTCACGCATCACGTGATCGTCGTCACGATGCCCCCGCCGCCCACTCTGTCCCTCGCTTATGCCACCCACGATGCCCTGAACCTGACGATCGTGCCCACGGGAGACGGTGGGGCGCCCATCTTAGGTGAGCCAGGGCGGGGTCTTCTCTTGCTGTTGTACGCCCGTGCGCTGGTGAGAATTTCGACAGCTGCTAATACTGCAATCAGTGCAACTGCTACGGCCTTCTGCTGCTGCTATTGCTATATATCTGCCATTACTATGAATACCACTGCTATTACTATTTATATAATGGTCTCTTAAACTACACTAACAATCCAATGGAGGAGGCTGTATGAATGAAAATGAATGACTTTACAACGCGTTTTTCATTCTCATTCTATTTTATTATATATATACATTTGTTAAAATCAACCAATTTTACTGCCTTACTAATACTACTTTTTCATCTTCTGTAGTTCCTATCTTGTCTACTACTATTGTTTTAAATGATTTTACCACCACTGTAAGTGCTGCTACTGCTACCACCACAACAACTACTATTACTTATAACAACTCTGTTGTTAATTCTGTTACTATTTCTACCATTACTCACTCTCTTATATACTAGAACATTTACTAATATGTCTGAACCCATCACTTATTATACCGCAGCCAATCACACTATTACTTCTACAGCTATCATTGCTGCTGTTGCTACCACTTCTACTATTCACAAGCATAATCACTCTTCTGCTCTCAATAATGATACATATGTTACCACTTCTACTACATCTACTGCTGCTGTATCACATTTTGATATAGCAGCAGCAGTATCTCCAATTGAGCACTTTAGCAGTGGTTTATGATGCAGAAAAATATCTGCATAAAAAAATTACGTAAGACCTCTTTGGAATATAGTGTTTTTTTTTTTTGTTTTTTTTTTTAGATTTTATTAGTCAAGTAGACTGTATAGTCAGTTATTACTTTGTAGTTAGCCCGGGCCTCGGATGGACAGTGTTCCATAACAAGCCTGGTGACTGGGCAAAGAAATAAGCACAGGATTAACATGAAATTTTGATCATTGACTGATAAAACAAATGAGCAACGTGTGTGTAATAAGATCAAATGAAACATCTCGAAAATTATCATTACCATGAAGTGACAGTATTCCTCCTGACAAGGAGTCCAATCTGATTTGAAACCTCACGATTTAATGCTTCCGTTACTAATGCATTTTATTTCGTAAACGTAACACACACACACCACACACACCACACACACACACACACACACACACACACACATATATATATATATATATATATATATAATATATATATATATATATATATATATATCAGTCTTGGCAGAGATAATATATTTTAATCTTAGGTCATTGAATTTTTTTAAATGCATGTTCCGAACTCTGTTTGATATTACAATGTTGTGTGTATGTGACAGTTATCCTCGAATCGTTTCATTTTACATATGTGCTGGATCCTGTTAAGCTGAAGTGCACCAAGATAAATACGTTTCTTTTTCCTTTGTCTCGTTCGATTCATCTCCTCTCTCACTTAAACTCAAAGAGGGACTTTGTGACAAGCTGACATGACACATTTCCTGCTGCAGGTTACACAGTGCACCACCGTGGGCGCGCGGGCGAGTGGGTGGAAACGGAGGTGGACCCCGGGGTGGAGAGCGCGGCTGTGCGCGGCCTTCCCTGTGGGGCGCCGCACCACCTGTACCTGACGGCTTGGAACAGCCACGGCACCAGCCCCCCCAGCCCCGTGCTGGAGGTCAGCACGCACGGCGCTCGTGAGTCATCTCAGTGTTGCCTTTGATATTTTCTCATCCTGTCCATGTCACCTGACCTTTGCCTTCGTAAGGTAAACAAATAAATAGAGAAGTATAGGGACCAAAAGTATCCTGTTGGAGTCTATTGTATGATTATCCTTTTACCTATGTTATTTAGAAAGCCTTATAGAAAGATTTTTATATATTGACTGGGTCAGAACTATATCAAATACACGTTTATTTTTTAGCCTGTGTTGCCAAGTCGAATCTGATATCTTTTTAAACGTGTAAGCCTGCAAGAACAGTGAAACGCCAAAGGAAATTCACTAACAATACAGATATTTAAAATTGTTTTCTTTTTCGACAGCTCCCGGACGGCCGAACCCGGCGAAGATCGTGGAGGTGAATGCAACCTGCGTCACACTCCGTCTCTACGCCTGGCCCGAGTCCGGCTGCCCCGTCACGCACTGGAAGGTGACGCCCCGTGTTCTTTGATCAGAACCAAAGCATATGTTTAGAGTGGTAGTTCATGATAGACCACAATCGACACTTGGTACAATCATTGGCACTGGTAAAACAAATTGCAGGTCACTTCTCGACCTCTGGTTGTCTTCCAGAATGTCATTTTTTGATAGGGACCCTTAGTGACGGTGCATTTCTGATTATAGAGATTCTTGAAACATGACTCAAAGATTGCGACTTCAAGGGATTCAGGAACAGAGCATGAAGTCGGTGGATTCCTAGGTCAGTCTCCCTCTTTTTCCCTGACTAATATACATACGCGTGTTCGTGGCGCAGGTGGAGCAAGGGAGCGAAGACCCCGCCGTTTTGTGGACGCCCTTACACGCCCACGTGACCAGAGACATGACTGACCTTGGCTTGTGTGACCTGACCTCTGCGTCGAGGCATCTCCTTCGCCTCACGGCCTCTTCCACTGCCGGAGACACGACGGTGGTTTACCGCGTCACGACGAGAGATCACACAGGAGGTCTGTAGGGGCGGCAGGAGATAAGACATGATTAGTTATATTATTCATAATGATAGTGTCAATGATAATGATGGTGTTAAAACAGTAATAATGATAGTAATAATGATAATAATAGTAATAATAATCATAATAGTAATTATCATAATAATGATGATGGTAATAGTAATAATAATGATGATGGTAATAGAGGATGATAATTAGTATTATAATAATGATGATAATGATAATAACAATAGTAATGATAATAGTAATATTAAGAATAAGAATAAACATGATAATAATTATAAGATCAACAACAAGGACAGCCCTAAACCTGGATTCCTTCGCCCTCCCTCACCCTCTTCTCCCTTCAGGATCCATCGCGGCGGAGTCGGTGCAGGAGGTGCAAGTGAGTGGGCCTCCGGGCGTGGGCGGCTGGCTCGACGCCCACGTGGTCGCAGGGGTAGTGAGCGCCCTCCTGTTGGCCGCCGCCCTCATCATCTGCGTCTGCGTCGCCGTCAGGAGAAGGAGGTATGGAGGTTACAGGTGAGTGCATGACTTGGCTCTGAACGCAACTACGAACTCCCTTCATGATCAAGATGTGAACAGGCGATGTAGATATTCCATGCTTCCAGACTTCATAACTTAATAACTTCATAATTGTGCCAGAAATGACATGTGGACGTCAGCAGCCATTTCCCTCGGGTCTGAGACTCACCTTTCCTCGCCTCGTGCACAGATTCCAGCTGGCAATCCCCCTCTTTGTTTGCCCTCCCATCAGAGTATGCGTCTCCGAAGGTGTTCTTAGACCAAATTCATTCAGTATTTAGTTAATTTAAGCTTTCGTCTATACTATGAAAATCGATTTTTTTTCTTCACTATAATGCAGTACAGTCATGGAATCGAGTGCATTAACGTGAAGATATCGATGTTCACGTTATAGATGAAGCTTTAAAATTGACAAAAACAGTTGTCACCTTTGGACGCGCATTTTCCTTCGCATTTCCTCGTCAGCATCACGTACTCACATCACCCCGAGGCCATGAGCACACAGACCACAGCAGCCCCCCCCCCCTCCCCCCCCCATCCCGCTTTGCATGGGCCCAACCGAAACACGTAGATCACGTGACCGCTCCCTGCTTGCGGCGCTGACATGCCTCCTCCTTGACCAGCAGGCAGGGCGAGAGTCTAGACAACAAGGGCGGCGGCGAGGACGACAACGCCCGTAACTCGGAGCTCACCCGCGCCCACCTCTACTCCCCGACGCCCACCAAGAAGCCGCGGGGCTCCTTGGCATCCCTCAAGACGCAGGACGACGCCTCCGACCCGTACGAGATCTGCCCCTACGCCACCTTCAGGTAGGTTTTCGACCTCGTGTTTGACGTCCTTCGTTGACCTTATATGCCCTGGAATTTGGTAGGCTGCAGTCATGAGATTATTTACCTTAATGTTAGAAAGAGATATGGTGAGAAAAGACTTTTTCTCTCTTCTCTCTCTCTCTCTCTCTCTCTCTCTCTCTCTCTCTCTCTCTCTCTCTCTCTTCTCTTCTCTTCTCTTCTCTTCTCTTCTCTTCTTTCTTCTCTTCTCTTCACTCTCTCTCTCTCTCTCCTCTCTTCTCCTCCTCTCTCTCTCTCTCTCTCTCTCTCTCTCTCTCTCTCTCTCTCTCTCTCTCTCTCTCTCTCTCTCTCTCTCTCTCTCTCTCTTCTCTCTCTCTCTCTCTCTCTCTCTCTCTCTCTCTCTCTCTCTCTCTCTCTCTCTTCCTCTCCTCTCTCTCTCTCTCTCTCTCTCTCTCTCTCTCTCTCTCTCTCTCTCTCTCTCTCTCTCTCTCTCTCTCTCTCTCTCTCTCTCTCTCTCACCCATAATCTCGCCCTTAGCGTGGGCAGTTCGGAAGGTACCTTAGAGTACGGTCTCTCCCTGCACGCTCTGACCCCCCGGGACTGCCTTGACCTCCCTGCTGCCCACAGTGACCGCCACCCGCACGAGGCCCCAGGTTACGCCCACCCACCCAGACAGCGGGCGCAGTCACACTACAAGGAGACAGGTGCGTGATCTGTCGTATGACGTCATTGTTTTCTGCTGGTTGTGGTTGTTGTTTTTTTGGCGATTGTGAAGCGGCTGCGCAAAAGTGTCTTCATTTGTTTTACGTCGCGTCTTTCGCTTGACCGGAGATTCTCTTCCTGGTCCAGCAGAGCTCGCCTACATCAGCAACAGGAGCCGCGGGGAGTACATAACCCGCCCGAAGTCCATTCCCGGCAGCCAACCCACCCCTGCGCCTACACCTGCGCCTACGCCCACGCCCATCCCCAACACTGGCGCCACAGAGACGAGGGCGTGGGCTGAGGACCCCAGAAAGGACACGCGCAGTCGCCCGCATCGCTCCAGGAGTCGCAACAGAGGTATCGCGGTCTTCTTCCAATCTTCTCTCCCATCTCTTCTTTCTT